AGGGTCTCCATTCTTGTGATCCTTCTCAACTTTGGGTTTCTTCGAAGGTGTGTCTTTGACTTCTTCCTCCGGACAGCCTCTCTTTTCTCCCACCTGGACTGTGACGGACACGTGCTCAGGCTCAGCCATCAGAGCCAAGCTGTGAGAACAGAGAAATCAAAACATAAAAAGGTAACTCCATTGAAGAGTACACTTACTATGAAAACAATTGTATAATGCCTGCTGATTAAATACAAATAAATACATATTACCGGTAGTGCCATACAGTGTGACACCATAGTAGGAGTACTTACATCTACAATAACATTCATTATATAAATGTGCATACATTTCAGCCAGTGTGATGATCCAGTTTATATTTTTGAGAAAACAAGATTCAAAGGTTTTATTGTCATATGCACAAAGCTACAGAGTGTAGCAATGGCAATGAAAATCTTCTGACCTGAGCTCCTCCAACAATGCAACATATATAATAAAATACAAAATACAAAATAAAAAGTAGGGCAAAAAGTCTATATACATACAACAAATTGTATATTTCAATATTAAAATATGATAACTTATTTCTCTTGACATTTTGTAGCTGTCTTCTTTTTTCTACCCACAAAATAATAACTAAACTGTGAACCAAAACTATGAATGCCACCGTGTCTTCATTTGCATACATTCTTACATTATGCAAGTCTCCCTACTGTGGGTTAAAAACACTGTGATCATCATTAGGAACATATTGCAAATGCTAAACTCGATTATGCAATCATCTTGAATCGATGCACTTAAAACAACTTCAACTGCAGATGTTTGGCATTGCAGTGTTTGTTTGAGGAATGACAACAAACTCAAATCACATTATCGGCCTATAAAACAATGCGATTGAAATGACTTACAGTTTGTGGAGCTGAGGTTGCAAAAACAGATGTGGATCAGGGTAACTCTTCTTGTTGCACAGCTGCCAAACACTTGCAGCAACTTGTTAACGGACTGGAGTTTGCTGAGGCCCTGGAAAAACAAAATGAACATAATAGCAACTCAAAAGTTAGCAAAGCAGCTAGCGCATTCGCATGTAATAGCTAACATTACTGGCTAATGCTAGCATTGGTAACAGCAAAGCTAAGCTAAAACGTCGGGGTAAATAAAGCAAAAACCGACTATGTTTCAAGAGATAGCTCTAATGCAATTTACCTGCGTCTGATTATATGCAATACGGACAGCGTTGAAAGCCAGCTTTTGCCACACACGTGTGTGTATGTGTGTGTGTGTGTGTGTGTGGGGGGTTTGTTCCGGAAACAGATCCTACCTAGAGCCCGCCCACTGCAAACGTTTGGTTAAAGACCTGTCAATCATGCAGTTAGCTTCTCACATAATAATAAAATTAACAACATGATTTTATTCAAATCAATACACATTGCAGCCATTTACAAAACACATATAGGGGAAGATAACGTAAAAAAAAATGGAATTTACAATTAGAGAGTTAATCGTCTACAATGTGTCAGTTTTTAGGGAGTTTATAGGCGACATTTGCGCTGGGGACATGTCCTTACCTAATACCTATATATACAGTCTATGGTCCTTACCACTTTTTGAAATTGACATTTTTGTCCACACCACTTTTTTAAAGTATAACTTATAAATGTTCTGAAAAATAAAGTGCATAAAGAAATGTAATGAACAAGAACACTGGTTTAGTGTCAAGATGTGCAATTTGGACATGTTAGTAACATGCACTGCACTTAAAAAAAAAGTAATGTAAACCAAAAAGAATTCCTCATTATATGGAGGACGGAACATGACATAAGTATAAATAAATAAATGCATAAATAAATTAGGAATAAATAAATAAAAGAATAAATAAATTAGGAAATAAATACAGAAATAAATAAATGTAATAAATACAGGAATAAATAATCACAAAATAAATACATGTATAAATAAAAATATATAAGTTGAGAATGAAACAGAACACACACATCTTTAATGTATTACATTTATTTTGACTAACATTAATATATTTATTAATTTCTGTGTCTGTGCGTGTTTCACACAATGTTGTTCTGCTTGGTAGCCTTTTATTCTGTGGATACGACAACATTTATAACAATTGTACTTCACAAAGTTGTGTACGTGTCTTTAACAATATCTTTGAGTTGCTATAATATTTATTTCACTTTTTCTGACCAGTCCCCATTTTATTTAGAAGCTGTGTGTCAAGTTGTACACAGTGCAAGGCGAAACACAGTGACTCTTCTGTCTTCAATACATATTTTAAAAGCTTTCAGCACCGGGAATTTCTGGCGTATTCATGTTTTGTATACACCTTTAAGCCCCCTGACACAAAAGTACAATTTGTGATATTGGGCTAATTAAATAAACTTTGATTTACTTGTATTGATGTATTTGGCGCAAAAAGTACACTTCACTTCAGAGCCCTCAAGAGCCAGATATAAATGTTTATTAGCGTCAAAAATGTTGTTGCTATTAAAGGTTTTGCTACTACCGAAAACTCAGTAACAGGAGTGCAAGGGATGGAATTTCTAACAGGTTTGAGATTTTTGATTTTGAAGCTCTTCTCCACTATAGCAGTGAGATAACGCACACATTTAACAAGCAGCACAATACACAATAGGAAAAATCTACGTGATAACTGCTTGGCTGGTATTGAACCCACCACCTTCAGAATCAAAAGACAACAGCTCTTCCTCTCAGCCACATCCCAATTATGGGCTGATGTGCAGAAGAGATGAGTATTTTGTTGTTTGAATGGAGGATTTTTATTGGAAAAATACCTGAAGTTTGGTGGAAAGGTACCAAGGCTTAATTCCATTGTTTGTAAAGGACAAAAGAAACATGACTCCAGATGCCCTGGTAGCCTTGTGATTTCTGAACAGATGTAAGAAATTGGACTGTCACTTCCTGTGATGAGTTTCAACAAGTGTTTTTACAATATCTCCTCTGACAAGTCCTTTCCTCATGATAATGTTATAATGTAAAGTAATAGTAAGATGTTAATGCAACATTTGTGTGTGACTTTGGCTCAAGGGGGCAAATGGATGTCTTCCAACCTGAAGGTCAGCGGTTCACCCAGCATGATATTGTTTTGTTATTTTACCTCACTGAGCTGCCCGGGAGGAACTCTTGCAATTTCTTTCAAAGTAATAGCTCTCACAAACTCTTGTAAAAACGTTTTTAATTGTGGTGTAAAAAACTGAAAAAAAAATAGACAGATATTTAGGCTTAATTCCAGTTTTTTCTAAAGGACTATTCAGGTAATTAAGTCTAACCCTAATATACGAATGAGATTGTTTTATATTTTTTATTTCCATATTTATTTTTTCTTGTGTTTATTTATTGCTATATTTATTTCCACATTTATTTATTACAGTTTTTTTTTCTCTTTTATTTATTGTTGTATTTTTTGTTTCCTGTATTTATGCATTCATTTTTTTTTTTTACCCTTGTCATGTTCTGTCCTCCATTCCCGTGTGCTTGTTGTGTGCATAAAGACAAATTCACAGCAAGACAAATAGTTGGGCGTTCAATGTTTTAGAAACACCTTGGTCTTTGCATTGGTTTTTCATGCAGGTGCTCAACACCCAGGGGAGGGACATCTTTTGTCTTCTCCTATGCTGATGTTAAATCAGGAAAATTGCACCACTTTTTCTAACAAAGTGACGCCCAAGCATATAAGATATATTTTTAATTCACATAAAACTCCTGTTAAATCGGAATGAACTTTACATGAAAATACATGTAAAGTGTTTTTCTTAACATAGGTATACATTAAGCTGTCTGTGGCTCTTTCCTGCTGTAACAACGCAAATTTCCCCTCTGTGGGACTAATAAAGGCATTCTGATTCTGATTCTGATGAAGAAAAATCAAAATGGAAGCAACTTACTTAAATTAATAGCAATAAATACTGATGATATCGGTGTCGTGGCTTAGATGGTTAAAGCGCCTGTCTAGTAAACAGGAGATCCTGGGTTCGAATCCCAGCGATGCCTTTTCACTGAGAATTAACGTAAGATGCCTCAGATCGGATTCACATTTGCAGGGAAACGTATCAATGGTAAGGTAAACCAATAAAGACTTGTTGGTTGTGTTAACTGTGAATCAAACACCCTGTTTGCAATCATATGACATCATGGTTACTTCTGTCAATGCTACCATATGTTTCCTCCCATATATACTATGGTTTCCTCCTTAATGCTGTTAGTTCATGTTTGTCTTTCTTTGGCATAGTGAATTAGGGTTATATAGTTCAACTATAGCAGAGTTGGAAATTGATTAGCAAATACTTTGGAAATCAATTAAACATTTAGGTAATTTTCTAAATGTAGTGGAGCTAAGGTAATGTCCTTCTAGACTTTAGCTTAGCATAACATGGAAATACTTAAAGTACAAATACCTAAAACATGTACTGTACTAGCCAGATGTACAGTATTCAGGAACATATAGTCTACTTATGTAGTAGGTCTATAGGTTTCTTCTACACAAGCAACAATGTTGTATTGCACTTAAATTAAATTCAGGTGCATGCTCCTTAGCTTTTAAAGTGTCTAATTCTCCTCAATAAAGCATAATTGTTCTGTATGTGACACCATCTTGCATGCCCACCATTTCACAATAAAGCAACTTAACATGTTTAATATTAATTGTACCTAAGTAAATGAAAAGAAAAGGGTTCTCATTTAATCCTCACTAATGAGAGTCAATAATATAATGCTCTGTTTACCTCTAATCGCTTCCTTCATTAAAAAAGTAAGAAAACAAATCATATTGTTTAGTAATCAGATACATGTGATAAATAGTTCATTCCCAATAGGCTAATATTTTTTTTTCGACTCGTTTTATTGTTAAATATGATTACATTGTGGCAAAAACAAATGTATTTGTGCAAATTGGTGCATATCCACGCGGCCACTGCATGTCACTGCCGCCAGAGGGAGCGCGTGTAGAGGTTAGTGTGTATGTGTTGTGTTTGTGTATGTGTGTATTTGCGAGAGAGAATCCGGCTGCTGCCGCTGAGCTGCTCGCTCCTGCTGAGGGGAAGAGGAGGAAACATGAGCTCCAGGAAAGGTGCGTATCCCTCAGCCTCTAACTTGAACATGCTACCACACTCATTACTGTTTGTATTTTACATGAAAGGTGGCGGAAGTTACCCGTGTAGCTAACCTACCAGAACACACCAAACGACGCTAATGACCCGCCAGCTTTAAAGCCTAATGATGAATGTTTGTTCTCTCTCTCCCCGTCCCTCCTACACCCTTCCCCGAACTCGGACGTCGGTCATGCCCGTTGATAAACCTCTCATCGCCCCGGCAGTGATGGCCATCCAGGCTAGAAAAAGGAGGCCGAAGGGGAAGAAAGACAGAACCGGTCACCATCGGAGGTAAGCAGGGCGGCGGCGTTTGATGACTGCACGACATGGTGAAAGTGAAGTGTTTGTTTGCCGGGGTTTGGCTCGCTGGCAGCGGGTGTCTCACCGTCTGACGCCGGTATAGACTGTGCGCACATATGGCCAAAGGCGTTTACTTTCAGCACGCATATGGGCTACTCTGGACTGTGATAAGTTGCCATTTACGTTAAAAAACGACCCCACTTGACTCCTAACGCCTGCTTCTATCCACAGTAGCTTCATGCCTTATTTTGCCTCTCTTGGGTTCTGATAGCCTCCTGATTGATTATTTTGACAGGGGGCTGTAAAAGGAGGTGTGACAGCTCGTTTCTTTGCAGCAGTACAGACTGATAAGAACCAAAACACCCCCCTCTATCGAAATGCCTATTTTGGAATCTCTCACATCATGGGGCTGGATTATGTAACTTTTGTTGAATTTGTATGAGCATTGTTTCCTGGTGTGTCTGGTTGTATAGGCAGTCTTGCAGATGCACGGGTATTTCAGCTTGATTTCCCCGGTGTGTGTGCTTGCAGCGGACTGGAGTGTGAGCAGCGCAGTGGCTCTGTAAAGTGCATGCGAATTGGAGTGGGTAGAGTGGGGGCTTTCTTCATGGCATGATGCTATTGGAGCGACGTCACCGGCAGCCGAAGAAGGCATCAATTAGGTGATACCAACCAATGCCCACCCCAGGGGGCTGCTCTCTGCGTGATGCTAGAATGTGCTGGATTTCCCAAACACCTGCACATTGAAATACAGCAAACAGATGTGTGCAAAAAAAGACCCCGCATGATAAGGCCAGTTATTCAGATTTTCTGTCTTAAATCATGAAAACATTACGTCAGTAGTGAGGTAATTCCATATGCTGGATTTTCATCTATTTTAGGTTTTTATTATCCCTTAGAAGCAGCTATCTTGTAAATAAAAAATGAACCCAGTGGTAGCTTTGAGATTGGTGACATGTTGTGGATTTGGCCTTTTCCCCAGGGTATGCCCGGATATATACAGGGCTTAACTCTGAGGGGGATTAAGCAGGGACAGAACATGAGTAACAAAATGTCTCTTGATTAAAGATTATACTTGTATGATGAATACATCAGCACTAATTATCCTGATTTATAATTTGCTCTAAAAATACAATTCATCATGATTTTAAACAAGGAATCATGTTGATTTTGCTTGGTAAATGACTCAAATTCATCTAAAATAGTTGCGGCTTATTTTTTCTGTCGATTCACTGTTTATCTCAGCTGTACAATTAAACAAATGACTAAAGCTATTCATTTAGCAGATGCTTATCCAGGCAGGTCACAGTGGTATCAAGGCAAGTACACTCACATATACTCTTGTTTGTGTACACACACACTTTTAAAGAAATACTTTATTTATAAGGAATATGATCTTCTTTGATCCAGAGTCACGCCTGGCCTCCGCTGAAGGGCTTCACACAGCTGAGGCGAGCTTTGTGTTTAGAAACCAAAACAAACAAACATTCATTGACTTTCTCACACACACACACACACACACACACACACACACACACACACACAATTCCAACAAACATGGGCTTTCACATTCAGAGCAGTGTGTACTCAGGTTCAGTCATTGCATTGTCGCTCAACTTTTATCTCTTCTGATTTCATCTGATACCTCTTCCCATGTTTGAACTTATTCATTCAGACACTGCATCTAAAATGCATCTACACACATTCCCAACCCCAAGAAGTGCACACTGTCTGGGTGCCATCTTAACATACATCGCTTAGTCTAGAGAGAAGGGATATAATCACAAAGTCTAACCTCTTTAAAGCCTCTTAAGCCTCTTACACACCAAACTGACACCAAGGAACCGTCGGGACGCGTCGCCTCACGTCTCCTGCGTCTTGGCCATGTTTCGCACTGGAACACACCGCAAAGACTTCAGCCGACGGCCAAGTAGCACGTACGAACTGCGCATGCGTGAGTGGCAATAACTCTCCTTACCAGCAGGCGGCGGTAGTGTGTATTCGTCATTCAAAAGAGGCAACAACCGGAAGACAGACTGCGTGATACACCGAAAGAAGAAGAACAGACTGCGTGATGATCTGGCTGCTGTCAGACGATCAGCTGTGCGGCGTCATCACAAACGGACGTCGCTTCACGTGACGCTCCGGAGGAAACGACGTCCCATTGCTCTTAAAACTCATTTCCCTGCTTCTCGTGGTTTCCTTGCGTCTCTCCATGCTTCCCTGGTGGGAGGGACTAGTCGCAGGGAAACGACGCAAGTGAGGGACGCAAGGAATCCATTTCACCGAAGTGAAACGCACCCTGAGTAGGGCGACACGACGCTCATCGACGGCCCGACATCTATCGACATCTATCGACATCTATCGACGCCGAAAATCGGCTCGGTGTGTAAGGACACATCAATTATATTTTGTATGTGGCTTCCATAGAAACTTCTTTTTGCTTTTGTGGTCTGTTCATCAAGATTGAAATCCTGCAGATATTTAAGTATTTTTGTTGTTTGCCCAATCATGCTTTCTAACCCATTAAATGCATCAGTTGCACTTGCATGCCCGGCAGATTGGGGCTAATTTGCTATTCTGTTTTTAAGTTGACAAGCTCTGTAACGGCCCGTCCACACAGCGGCGTGCGTTGAAAGCTTCACCATTCACTTTGAATGGGGTGACGTCACTTTTCGCCGAACTGCATTGTGGGAAGCGAGGCGGAGCTTTGCTGGCGTGGCTCGCTGCAAAAGTTGAGCAATGTTCAACTTTTGAAGCCTCGGCAGAAGCGTCAGCCAATCGAATCATATGCCAGTACAAGCTCTAGCCAATCAAACCGCTGCTTGTGTGTCAGGGGCGGGAGATTCATGTGATTGGTTGTTGGTTGAGTTTCAGACACGCCCGCCAGCAAGCTTCAACGCACGCCGCTGTGTGGACTCTTGGGTCCATATTGAAATATAAAAAAAACAACAGGATGGACATTCACGATGCCTTGAATTCTACTGACATTGGCATTCACTGACTTTTCTCCAAGCGCCATATACATGCAGGTTGACATTTGTCTTTGTACGCAGTGACGAACTGGCCATCGTGACGTTCGGGACGAAGCCCGATGGGCCGGTACTGAAGTGGGCCGGTCGGACGATGTGGGCCGGTCGGATAAGTCATTAGCACCACCCGTCCCCCGTCCCCGTCGACAATTTACTAGCGGTATTTACTTGCGGTACCGAAGTGGGCCGGTCGAGAGTCCCGGGCTGATTTATAGTCCCAGTCCGCCCCTGGTTGTACGGGTAATGTCCTGACAACCATTCAATGCATTGTCAAGGAAAATACATCTAACCAAAGGTCCTTACAGGATGAGTTATCGTTGCATACAGATTTAGTGATCCCCTGAACCATCTAGTGCCATCTTCAGCTCAGTCTAATCTGCTGCCCAATACTTTTGTCAATGTCATTGCAAACCACCTGAGCCCTTCTCTGTGTTTGGTCGATATTAACAAATGCTAGCATGCTAACAGGCTACACTTATATGATCAACTGGGTAAATATAACCTATAAATATAAACAAGCAATGCAAAATTACCTCTTCTTTAGGCAGAATATATTTATATGAGCAAACATAGTTGAATCCTTTTGAAATAAATTAAAAAACAACACGATGTAATTGACCAAATACCAGTATTATTAGATGAATCAATGTAAACAGTTTATTTGCAGATGCACTCAAGTGATTAAATTGACAGCTGTTTATTTACTTATAGGATGACGGATTAGTCATTTTGTATCTGTCACACAGTATCTCAGACACCATTGATCAGATACGAACAGCATACATTTTGTTTAAGGACTTCATTTCCTACTGAAAAACCAATGTGAGCTGTTTGTTTGTTATTTACCCAGAGGGAAACCACCCCATTTCTGAGGGAACACATGCTCCGTTCTTGACGATTAACATCATCAGCACAAGCAGTGCAGTCACATGTTTGGGTATGGATTGGTGAGCAGAGCGTGTTTGTAAGCAAGACACTGATCTTTTGGCCTTGCAGCTATAAGTGTGTTCTTCAAAGCCTTTTTCCAGCTTTTAAAACTTCTGTTTAGGGTGCTGACCAAAGACTGTGTACTAGGCTGGAGAGATGCTAGAAACATTCAAAGACACCGTTGTGATTTGGAGGCGTAGTTGTGCTTTGTTGTTATTTCCTTGGATTTATCTTCTAAAATAACTCAGTATGTGTGAGTGTGCAGGTATAGGTGTGCAGTGTGTAGGAGGAGTATAGAAGATGCTTTGAACTTGGTTGTGGCCCAAAAGAAAGTTCATTCTAAGTTCACTTTGATATACTATCTCTTTTCTTCCTCCAACGTTTGCTTGTGTTGTCCTTTGAAGTTTAGTCTTTTGCCCGCACACTGTAACCTGATCCTATCTCTATACTTCCCTCGATCTATCTTGATGATCTGGATGTTAGTATTGTATAATATGCGTGCCAGTTATTGAGTCATCTGTTTGTGTTTGCTTGAGAGATACTCGATAGGAGTTGAGGCGTTGAAAGCTTTCTGGTATTGAGCCATGAGTTGTTTTGTATGATCCAACAGGTTGAGGAACTAATACTTGTATTTGTTTTATACTTAGATTAATCAATCTCCAATAGAGATTTTCAATGTTTTCAGCCTATAGTCAGTTGATACATGCTTTTGTATAAGGCTGCTTTTGTATCAGGTTACAGGGCGGTGGTGGCGAAGTCCATAGGGACTTGGCTTGGCAACTGGAAGGTCACCAGTTCAAGTCCCGGAAAGACCAAGTGCTACCGAGGTGTCCCTGAGCAAGGCACCGTTCCCTACACTGCTCCCCGGGCGCCGTACATAATGGCAGCCCACTGCTCCTAACACTAGGATGGGTCAAATGCAGAGACCTTGCAAATTTCCCCTCTGTGGGACTAATAAAGGTATTCTGATTCTGAACTATTACTATCAATCAAACTACCAATTGTATCTTGATTGATTCATTTCATTTTTCT